GATCTTCCACTCGACCTTCATCACTTTAAAATTTGCTACAGCTTGATAGTTTTTAGTAAATTTTATTACAATACCAAATAAAATTTTTAACAAATTTATATATCATTATTTTAACTGATTTATATATTATTATCTCAACTATTTAATTATTTCTCTATACTGTCTTTTTAATCAGATTATCATTTTACTCAAACCAGTACTACAAATAAAAACAAATTATTAAAAATGAAAATTAATTTTTTTAAAAAAAAACATGATATTAAAAAAAGAACTTGAGATATTTAAAAATCCCAATGCCTGCTTACTAAAATTGACTCTTAAGTATTCTACCTTTCAAGTTCTAACACAAACCAATGAATTAGAACCTTAACAATTAAAGAAGAGAAAGATCTTTCTATTTACTTACCTTCATACTAATGAGGAACCTTTAAAAATATTAAAAAAAGTAAATGAGTCAGCAAGAAACAAAGTAGAAAATGTAAAATAAAAAAAAGAAATAACTTAGAAAAGTTAAAAAAATTCAAAAAAAGATTGAAATAAAAAAAAAAAAAAATGTTTACAATGTTCTTGTAAAAAAAAAAATCATATCATGTAAATATGGATATTGCTAGTACTGTTCTGTTTTTGATATTTTAATATGTAAAATATCAATAAAGTAATTTATGCAGTATGTAAATCTTAACTTGCATGATGTGTTATAATACTCTCAACCTGAAAAAAACATATAAATTTTTTGACAATTTTTGAACATCTGGTATACAAAATTTTTTTTAAAAGTGCAAGCTTTTTTTTTTATCATTAGTTAGTAAATCGAATGTATTTTATTTTGGCAAATTTTGAGAATAAAATAAGCTTTTTTCAAAAAATTTTACTATTAGCAATCATTGAGTGCGCCATAATACCCATGGTTTCCTTAGTAGTCATTGATATTTTTTGAAATTCGCTTAACAATTTAAAGCAGCTTCTTTGCAGTTAAGATCTACGCATAAATTCACCAAATATTTATTTTTTTTCATTAGTTCAAGTTCAATATAATTTTTTAATTTTGGAATAAAACAGGTAAATCAGACAAGTTGAACGAATAGGTTTGTGTTATTATTATCATCATTATTATTGTTTTTTTTTTTTTTTGTACGAAGTGAAATATGAAGCAAAATATGAAGCAAGCTATAAATAAAGGAAATAATTCACTTTTACGTTTACGATAATTACTATTTAGCATTGTTTATTTAAATAATCGATGATATCATCAATGATCGTTTAGATTGATTTCCGGACAATCACGTGATCATACGGAGCACAGCTGATTTCCCCAGCGTAACCACCAAAAAATCACGGACACGTGATAATGATAAAAATTCCTAATTCAGTAAGATTAGGTTAGCATTATATTATGATTAGGTAATATTAAGGATATATTAGTAAAATCGCTCATGAAATTTTTTTGTTAGTGCACTAAAGGTGGTTTCCTATGTAAATTTTCGAGTGTGATTTTTAGTAAAACGAACGTTTGTTCTAATTTTCCTGATCGTGCAACGTTACACCTGATCTTGTAATCTCATTGGTTTGCACCACTAAAATATCACGTGCCCGTGATTTTTTTGGTGGTGATACTGGGGTAGTTGAGCACAGCCTGGTACACATTTTCGATTTGCATACAGGTATAGGCATTAGGTAACACGATCAGGAAATTTCAAAAGCAAACGTTAGTTCGAAGAAAAAAACCAGCTTATTTCTCAAAAAAACGCATAAGAAACATCCTTTCGTGCACTAACAAAAAGTTTTCCTTGAGCAAATTTACATACATTGCTTTTATTTCTAACTCTAAGCTAAACGTTATTCTAACATAAATAAACTTTAAGGGATTTTGAGAAATATATATCCCGCGGGAGATGCCTTACGCGAAACACAAAATGCTTTTAGTTATTAACTTAGCTCGGCCTTTCTCAGGATTTCATTTTTTTAGGTTGCAGAGGCTTCAAATTTCACGCCTTTCGTTAGAGGTTTCACCTTTAACTAGGGATTATACCTTTAATCAGGGATTACGCCTTTCGCAGGGTGTTTCATCTTTTGTCAGAGGTCTCGCCTCTAGCCGAGGTTCCGCTATTTCTCCAGGTAGTTTTGTTTTTAGTATTTCACCGAACTTAGATTTCATCTTTCACCGTTTATATAGATGGTTTATTCTAAAAACTATAGTAACATGGTCACCGAGTCAAAGAAACCGAAAAGATGCCATGATTGGTCCTCGTTTTGAACAAACTGATCTCGAAGTTCAGGTACGAAAGTACCGACAAGAAATTTATTTTGAATTTGAAATATTTCTTGTTTAACAACATTATTTATTCTATTCGACAGCCGAATTCGGCAGCTGCCATTGATTTGATTGCCGAAGAGCCAATTCATTATGTAGAAGGCAGAATTGCAATATGCGACGGGGGTATTTAAACCTTATAATTGTTCAAAATGCGATTTTCTGTTATATAATGAAATGTAATGTCAACGATAATACCAGGTGGAGGCCCACTAGGTCATCCGCAAATATACATAAATTTGGTAAAACATCTTCATTATATCTTGATCTGTTGTTTTATTTATTTCCTTATTCTTTTTTTTTTTTTTTATTGGACTTTACCAGGATCAGCCAGGCTCTCACGCTTGTGGATATTGTGTGTTTTAAAATTTGTTCTAGCGTACTCGATTTATTATTATATATCTAACGTTAATATACCCTTTGCAAATTTGAATAGGTGGTATTAGGTTTGAACAAAAACCACATCACCGTCATTGACATTTAACAGTATAATTTATGCTCTAACGTTGATAGATGCAAAATCATTCAGTTATGGTGACTTGGCAACCACTTCATTATGTAATTCATAAATCATACAAAGTAACTGTTCTTTTAAAATTAAGACCAAAATACGTTGCAACAAGTTAACATCATAAAAAGGCTGCGTTTTTTATATTTTATCGAATCTCAATCCAATTGCACCAAGTTCTAATATAATATTTTAGTTTGATCTAAGTTTATCTGACTGATTTGAGTATTCTATTTCATATATTTTATAACTCACTATGGAGTGCCCCGAAGTATGATACTTCATCAACAACTCTACTAATCATATCTAAATCAGCAATTCACATGATAAGTATCGGACGCCTGTATATTCATAGATTTTTGGGGCTTGTCCATGTTCACGTTCTTAATGCTTTAAATTAATAAATTTTTGGGATATTTGAATTTGTATAACGTGTCCATATTTTGTCCATACTTTGTCCATATGTTTGTTCATACATGTCCATTGACAACAGGTTATATTTATACTAGGTGCTGGAAAAAGAACGAAAATAACTATTTTTTTTATACATAAATCAGTTTAAAATAAGATTAAGATCATTTTTCTATTAAGACATAAAAGTAGTTATATTATTAAAATTTTGTAGTATAGTTCTTTGAAGTTTGCATTTTTTTTATTATTTATTATAAGATTTATAATATAAAAATTGATTTTCCGAAGATCTTTTTTTTTTTTGTCGATTTCGTTTCTTTTTCCAGCATCTAGCTGTATTATACAACTTCTATTATACAAGTATTATACACAATGGTTTAGGTATATAATACCAATTTGTCAATCAATCACTACCACTAAAACACTACGAAATACACTATGGGATATTTCCCCGCTGCTCACATGGTCACCAGCTAACTCTGTAGTATCATACCCTCTTTTTTTTTTTTTTTTTTTTAAGTTGTTAATTCAATACATTCCGTTTACTCTACTTTTTCCTTTTCGACCTTATTTTGATATCCGAATTGTTCACCCGGGTTATCCCATTTATCTATCTCCTTCCGAATCTTGTGGCAGGTGGGTGGGTCCTATCAACAAAACTAGACTTGTGTCAAGTTAGTAGCAAAGACAAAAAAAGAATTATTTTCTATTCATACTTTACTTATATAGTTATTTTTAATGATCTTATACTTACCATACTTTATTCAATTAAACTAACTACTCAATTCTCTTACCCACAATGATCTTATCATTTAATCAATTACTCAATTATACTTTCTTATTAACAATTACTTATTCAATAATAATGTTATGGATGAGTGACATGATCTTATGACAAATGATTGTCTTGTGATTTCATTTATAATAGAAATAAGTTAATTAATTAAATTGATTTATATATAATTTTGAAATTTTCTTTAGAAAATTCTAAAAAATCACAAATATATAATAGTAATTATATTATAAACATGATAAAAAATTTATTTAATTTATTTATTTTTTTTTTTTTTGGTATTAAGGTGACCTCTTTGGTCTTTTGACTTTTATTAATCACTTATCAGTATTGTAGTTTAATGAACCACTACAGGAGAGTGTACAATTGGCTATACATATAACTTTTCTATATTACCTATTTAAGAAGTCTGCCTGAAGGTTTCCTACCAATTGTCATACCTAACACCTTTGCTTGAATGTTCTATTTTAAATCTTCTGAACCTGTAATCTGTGTTAATATTACTGGGTTATTTCAGATGCCCAGATCATTGTCTTAACTTTAGGACTAATTTATTCTCGAGGTAAACCTCCCAAAGCCTTCTGTATATATTTTTACAACTGATCTAGATATCATTATAATAGAACCAACACTTGCAATTAAGGTTGACTATTAAACTACTATGCTCTTGTAGAGTTTACACAAACTCCAGCATCTACTTTATAGCATATCTGAAATACTTTAGTATATCTCTGTTGGTTTACCAAACTTCCAATCCAGATAAACTAGTAGGACTTATAACTGGTTTATTGGTATATTAGGTTGGCCCAATATCTTTTTCCTTTAGCTTGATCTGGTGGCCTGATTGGTGATACTCTCCACCTTGAAGTTTTTGTCTGTCTGACTACTTTGACCTTGGTATTTATTTTATAAGGCTAGCTTTTATAGTAGGATCATTAAAGATCTATTCAGATCTTCCCAAATGAACTTCTTGTTACCTAATTTCAACAGATTTATATGGTCACAAGGACTTATCTAATGTTTGTACTATCTAATTATCAGTTTGCATTCCTTCATATAACTACAACCTTGTCCCAAAGGACAATGTCATGTGACCTATTACACAAATGCTTTATGACCTACCAGTTATACTGGTGTGACTGCCATTACAGGTATTCTAACCCAATCTTAGTAACAGTTACTATAATACAAATATTATATAGGTGATTATTCAAATTTTTACTATCAATGGAATTTGAACACTCAATTTACCACTTGGAGGGTTGACAACCTGATCACTTCACTAGGTTACTACACCTTCAAAAATTTATTTAATTAGTTGTTAATTATTATAATATTATATATAAAAATATAATTGATTATATTTCACTATTAATATTTAAAAAAAATATATAGTAACTTAATAAAATAGACAAGTTGTCAACCTTCCAAATGATAGATTGTAAGTTCAAAACCTACCAATAGCAAAAATTTAAAAAATCACCTATATAATATATAAACAATATTATAATAATAGTATTTTGTCAATCAATTAGAATAAAATACTTATAACTATAGTTACATCAGCATGATTTGCAGGTTACAGAACATTTGTATAACTTTAATTACACAGAGAAATGCAAACCAGTATCAAGAAATACAAATCTAAAATAAGTTCTTATAGTTATATAAATCTGTAAAACTAAAAAAAACTAAAATCTACTTGAAAATACCAAATAAAAAAATAGTATGAATTTTTGACAGTATTATGTAAAAGCTAGATTTATAAAATATAAAAGAATTAAGTAGTCAAGAACTACAAATAAGAGATATTACTAATCAGATTATCAAATTTCAAATTAAAAAAAAAAATATTAGGCTAAGCTTGATATACTAAGAACAAATTATAGTTCTTTAAGACTATTTGAATTAAAAATATAAGGACCAAAGCAGAGATATACTAAAAGTACTAGAGATATGCTGTAAAGTTAGTACTAAGGTCTGAGTAAACTCTGCAAAGGTAGCCTTTGTTAATAATCTATAAAGTAAATAGATAGTTAATACAAAAAGTCTCTTGTGCCTTACTGGTAGATCTTATATTCTAAAATATGTAGTTATTTAGAAACCAGTACAAAAAGAATAAATATCATATTGCTCAGATAGTATACTGATTAGGTATATATAAGGTTTAGTAGGTATTATATTATAACAGAATAAATGATTAGAGGATTTAAATAAATAATCTCTTAATAGGTTATAAATATAGTATTTAGTATAAAACCCTAAAGCAGACTATTTAAATAGACAACTAAAAGTTGTATATATAACTAATTGTACTCTTATTTCTGTATAAAATAGTTGTAATAACTAACTTCAATAAAAGTTAATAAAGTTTCATCACAAAGTATAACCTTTAATACAAAAAAAAAAAATTTTAAAAAAAATATATATAATTGATTATATAATTTGATTTTATTTGATTAAATTTATCAGAAACAAGTAGTATTAAAAAATATATTTTTTAAAAATTTTTTTTTTTGTTTTTGCTAAAATTAATATTAATGATAACTACTGTTTTTATTATTTTTTTAATTATACATATATACTAGTGTTACTTATTGCAAGATTGCAACTTTATATTATTTATTAAATTATTTGTGATATTTGCAACTTTTCTTGTTATAAAAAAAAATCATAAGGTTATAAAATTAATATTACAAACTTATAAAGTTTGTTATATATATATAGAATCACAAAATTATAAATTATATAGTTACAATATTACAAATAAATCATATAAAAGTAAAAAAAATTAATTATAAAAAAAATTTAACATTGAATTTTTTTATCAAAATTTATAAAAATCTTTAAATAAAAAAAAAATTAAAATAGTATTTTAATTTTATTAAATAAAAAATTTTAAAAGAACATAGTAATATAGTAAAGTAATCAAATTGGCAACTTCCAAATAACAGGTCTAAAGTTTAAATTTTAATATTGTTATAAGGTTGCAGTCTTTTTGATACAATACAACCAAATAACAAGATTACTTGATATAGTGATTGACTGTTGCAAATATATTGTTATCCTATATCTACTTCTTTTAAGATAGTAGATAACTAGAGTGACCTTAGACAGTGAACACTTTTTGT